CGATTTTTGGCATCCTTAATAAAGGATGGTGGATCTTTAAGAAAATGTTATTAATTTTTTTGCAGGAATAAAAGCGTTAGAGATATCAGCATTTGTTTAAAACCGCATTTTTAATAAAAGATGTCAGTAACTTCGAAACCCTACGACAGATTTTTCTTTAAGTCCAGCAACCTTTTGCTTTGTTAAGATTGGTTTCGAAAAGAGAGGGGCCGGATAAATGCAAAGTAAGTTTGATGAATGGAAGTTCTTTGATCTTGCCCCGCATTCAGCATAAAGTTTTTCTACTTGTATTACGAACTGTATTCGCTGCAGGTTTCTGATTATACTCAGTTCCTTGCAATAAAGCTTTGGGTAAGAATACCCTTGCAGATAGAAGATAGTCCGTTGGCACTCTTGCTCAATTTGTGCGTCAGCTTTCACAAATGTGTTAGCGTTGCATTTTAAGGTTAAATTTGACCAGCATTTTGTGTAGCAAGTTCTACGGTCACAGTTCACTGCAAACTTGCAGATATAAAACTAGAGCACAGTCTTATTTGCTGAAGTTAGAGAAAAATCTGTCGGAGGCTTTCGAACATTTTTTGTAAAAATGCGGTTTTAAAGTGCCGATATCTCAAACGTTTTCGAAAATCAGTTCCAAAATCTCGCCACGTGCTTTTAGAGTTACTTCGTTCTTTTCATTTCTGCACTTCTACCCGGCGTCCTCTTTGGGCAATTTGTTTGTGAATGCCTCATCGCCCCGGTCTGATTAGTCTGCACTGGGGAGGAGCGTTGCGTGACGACACTAAAAACGGATGTATAGCAGACTACGTTCTGGTTAAATCTCCCTCCTTTAATTGGTGGAAATTTGAAATGAGTGTTTGCGCTTATTCTAGAAAACTCGTGTCTCCCTGTTGATATTTAGTTGTACAATTATATCATTTAACAACAAATTCACCGAGGGCGAAGTTAATCGATTGCTGAAAACATAAAGTTTTGTCAAGAGACTATGAAAAGACAGAGAGGTAGTCTCCCAAGCATCCCTTTGGAAATCTTACTTTAAAAAACATTATTTTTAGAAACTATAAAAACCATGCGGAAACTTTATCCGGTGGATAGTTTGACTTCCAGAAGACTCGCGTTTAACTGGCGAGACGAAGTCACCACATGAGAAAAAAAAAATGGCGGCTTTAACAGAGGGAGTTCCACACGTGTTAGATTTGGTTAAATTGTACCATTTCAACGACGCTCATAACACCGAAACTAGCCCGAGAAAACAGACGACGCGCGACGCTGCCACTGATTTCTGTGGCAAGGTCATTTCGAGGGGAAATCAGTGGTGGGGTCGCGAACTTTTGGCTGTTTTCTCATGCTACATCGAAACTGGATAAACCTTCTGTACAAACGGTTTCTTTAAAAGGACCCGTAATACAGTTACTTGACAGGGGCACCCAACGAGAATATGGTTCAAAACTACTTAAACATAGCATTGTTAAACGTATTTTAGTATTTAAACGGTAGATATAGGCATATTTTTATCCCCTAAAATTTTTTCATCTGTTCGGATTTCCTAGCTGAAAGTCTAGTGATCCGAAAATTATAGGGATCAAAACTTACCTTTTCGAAAATTTCAGCCAGAAAAAAGGCTCCCAAAATTCTAGGTGACCTTGTTAGGGTAAAAATCCGTTTAAAATGGGCAATTATACCTTTTTTTAGATGTTCGAAAATCCTAGGAGAGGCAGGTAAGCAAGAAATTTTACAACAAATGTTCCGAAAATTCTAGATCGCAAATCGTCTTCAGAACAGATATTTTCCGAAAATTGACGTTGGGTGCCCCTGACTCGGCCACCTGACTGTTATTGAGGCGCTGGAGGCTCTATAATAGTTATGATGTCATACTGTGCAATTTTTGGTGCTGCTCCTCAACACCTTTACGAGAAAGTAGGGTGGCAATGGGAAGCAGACTGGGGCTGTAGGCAACGTCGAAGAGAAGATGCCGGGGCGGGGATTTAGTTTGACTGGTATATTATTACCGCCGCCCGGTTAGCTCAGTTGGGAGAGCGCCGGTCTGCTGAGCGGGAGGCCGTAGGTTCAAGCCCCGGCCGGACCAACACTCAGGGTCTTTAAATAACTGAGGAGAAAGTGCTGCCTTTGTAATAACATCTGCAAATGGTTAGACTTTCTAGTCTTCTCGGATAAGGACGATAAACCGTAGGCCCCGTCTCACAAGCCCTTGCACATGTAATAAATCTGTGGGACGTTAAAGAACCCACACACTCTTCGTAAAGAGTAGGGCACGTAGTGCCCGGTGTAGTGGTCTATCTCACTTTCACACTCATATATGGGGGCATCATCACTCATTCCTTCAGTACTTGTAAACTGCATCTTAAGCAGTCTGGCAAAGTCCCCCAACCAGTGTTGTAAATTATCCCTGAAAAGCCCTGAGGGGAGTGGATAATAAGATAATTACAATTACAATTACAATTATAATTCAGTAGAAACATAAAACTGGGAATTCTAGCCCGTTGCTTGTAGCAGAATAAAACACAGCAGAACATTGCATCTTCCAAACTTTAAATTTGTTAGTAGATCCTCTAATGGTATTTCTCTGGGAATGATTGTGCTTGTTTTGTTTTCTTGATTGGAATTTGTCGGAGTGGCCAAAAGTGCACGCATGCTATTTAGCAGTCTATAGTCTTCCCAAGTACATTAAAATACAAATCTGAAAAATTATGACTGAGCGATATGCAGTTTTAAGGTGTTTGGATGCAGTTTTTGGGAGACCATACCGATGTTTTTCAATCGTCTTAAAAGTGATTTTGTCCTTCTCTGATCGCTACAAACTTTTTACCAGTGATTGACTATGAACTGAAGTTTGTCAAAATGCAATTTTTAGTAAAATCGATATCACTATGACAACAATAAACAAACATTTTGCGATCAATAAAATCTGAATCCGATCTAGACCTGTTACGGAAAATCCGACACCAGGAACTTAAAGTGTGGTGTTTAGCAAATAACCTCCACTAGAAGTAAAAAAATTCTGTATGTTTGAATTCCAGTAAAATAAAATTAATTTCAAACCTTACATTTTCAATAGCCGTGATAAAATGTGAAATAAAAAAGCTTCTAAATAACTAAAATTAATCTTAAGTAGCGTCAGAAGGCTGCTTAACATCATACTTCTATGCTAGGAAATTTTGGTGTATTTTATTTCTTGCGATCCTGAAAACTAATAAACCTGTTTTCTCACCACCTGTCTAAGAGCAACTTTGTTCTAAATTTTGAATTTTAGCGCTTTTCTGTGAATATCTCTAAAACGACTCGACGGAATTTTTTTGAAACCTCATCACATAATCTTCATAATGTTTATAATAACGTCTGAAAGTTTCATTAAGATTGTAACACACCTTGAAATTTCAAGACGAACCTAGCCTACGAACCGGCCAAAAATTCTGCGTTTCAACATTCACTCTTTTGACGTTATGCTATTTTGTCCAAATTAATGCCCACCATACATGCCTCCATGGATAGTACATTTCAATGTGAATATTGTCAATGTTTTACATTCAAAATATGCAATAAAATTCATACTAAAATGTACTCGCCATGGAGGTATGTATGATGGACATCAATTTGGAAAAATAGGCATAACGTCAAAACAGTGAATTTGGTAACGCGGATTTTTGGCCGGTCCGTAGGCTAGTTTTTTCTTGAAATTTCAAGGTGTTGCAGTGAATCAATCTTCATGAAAGTTTCAAAACACCTTAATTTTTTTTAGGCTGACACAATGTCTTCAAGTTCATTGACTGCCGAAAATATAAGACACAATTGCTGCCACAGGCAATATTTTCAAATTTCCACAAGATAATTAAGTTTAGTGGTCTTAGCAGATATGAGGAATTATAAAAATGGTTTTAGAGGATAAAAGTTGTTCATATTTTGTCCGTGAGTAAGCCCCACGGGGCAACAAAAGCATGCATCGTTTTTGCCCTGGCCTAATTTTCGCGACCTTTTCCTAAGACATGTTAGACTTTTAGCCGTCTCGCGCACGGCGTGGCTCAGTCGATCGCACTGTTAATAAACCTTCTTTCATCTTTCTAATTTTTTGGCTCTCGTTTCATTTCTCGCGCTGCCAAAACCGAAAATCCCGTTCCTCGGTCTTTCTTTGCTCCAAAACCCTTGCTACGCAGGCTAATAATTTGGCGACTGAGATTTGCGATGCCAATAGATTTTTTAAATATAACCCTTTCAACGGAGAACTTTGAGGTGCCATTTTTAACATACAACGCAGAGAAACCATTTTAAGTACTAACAAAGTTTAACTTACATCTTTAAAACAAAACTTAAGCTTAATTATTTTTAAGGAAGAACTTCCGTGGGGAAAAAAAATGTATAAAACACAAACAAATTCAAAATTAAACTTTTGCTCTAATCTACATATCAAACAGGAACACATACTCGGAGACAATCGTTACCAAAGTTACGCGACCAATAATTAAAGATATAACTGAAAAAGAGAAAATTACTTTCGCTGAATCATTAACACAACTTAATGAAATAAAACATTTTCGGAATTTAAAATTTACGAAAAAATAGACGTTTCTTTTTCCTTCTTTTCTATCTTTTTTTTGGTTAGGATCATGTCGGGTGTTTTTCATGAAGTAGATCCTGAAATCACTTCAATCTAATACAAACTATTTCTTTCGCGGCTATCAAACGAAGTGTGCAAAAATAAACAAATAGAACGTACGTCATTGTAAGATAATTCAGATATCACGAGGAAGTTGTTTTTGATGACGTCCCTTGCTGAAAAAGTCGTGCTCTGATTGGTCAATCTAGCTATAAGATAATTTGTTTAGCGGAACACCATTCAAAGCTCTCTTTTTCCATCAACGAATGTATATTACAAAGAATATAAATGGACTAGACGGTTACAGAAAAAAAAAACTATCAAATTTCTCTTTGATATTTCTTTTAACAGAGTCAGCCACAATCGTTGAATGGAAGCAGCCTTTTAGAAAATGACCTCAACAGCAGATGTCGTACTCAAGGTGGTGTTTTCTCTGATGATCGCTATAAACTTCCTTGGAAATAGTCTGGTCATCGTGGTGGTCATGCGCTATCGAAGAATGCAGACTCCAATGAACTATCTGTTAGCTCATTTGGCATTAGCTGATCTGCTGTTCGCGGTTTTCTTCATCCCGCGACGGTTATTAATCACTGAATTCCAGCATCCAAGTGGATGGGTCGGAGACTTTTTGTGCAGGACATTCACTCACGCAAACTTATCTTGGGTAGCATCAGTGGCAGCGGTGATAACATTACTAATTATTGCATGGGAGAGATATCATGCCATTATTCACCCGCACAAGAGCCTCGGCCGTCTGACGAAACGAAAGCTCAGGAAATTGATCATAATGACATGGATTTTATCTTTCATATTTCTTCTTCCCGAAACTTATGTAATAAGTTACAGTGATGAGAAAAAGGGGTGTGCTTTCTTTTTCCCTGATTGGCTCGGTAAAGCTGATTCAGTCTTATGGCTCTTTGCTATAGGTCTCTTCCCGCTATGAGCCATGGGAATTATGTACGGCCGCGTGGTACGACGGTTATGGTTTTCGGGCGACCAAACTTCAAACGTATCCCAGAGGGCAATGCTACAGTCGCGGAAACACGTGACTAAGACGGTTTTATTGATAACTGTGGTTTTAGCAATTTCTTGGCTTCCAAACCTTATTTACTACTTTTTGGAATCTTTTAAATTCATCAACGACACAAGGACAATAGTTACGAACGTTGGTTCGTCAGAGCACTTATTTCGCCTCGTCACGTATATATTCATATCAGTTAATTCAACCATTAACCCCGTTATCTACGCAGCCCACGACAGAGCGTTTCGACGCCACATGTGGAGACTAGTAACTAAAGGATGCAAATCTCGTAATAATAAGGTCATAGGAGATCATCCATCCACAGTCTCTGCCCTCGCTTTCAGGGGAGTTGCAATGGATCAGTGTAAACTCCCAGAACCCCAGGAACAGCAGGAAAACGGTGAAACATGTGGTTTATAGACGACATCAAGATATGCATTCTCTCTTGACGGCATTTAACCTTGGCTATAGAAAAGTTTTGCAACGCTTTTGTACGATTTTCATAATCCAGTCGGTTTTTTCTTTTTACAGACTTAGATATTTTATTCACAGATTGTATAGTAGGTAATAGCATGATTTGTGGTGATATTTGGCATAAATACTAGGAGTGATATTTCAAAATTGTTATATGTAATTTTGAGACAGTTTGAAATATCACGAGTGGTATTTATGCCAAATATCACGTACAAATCATCCTATTATTGTTTTATACTACTACCCGTAGAAGGTTTCATAATTTTCACACGAAGGTATTTCAAATTAAGCTGAAATACCACTGCTCTAAGCCAATCAAATTGCAGAAATTTCTCATGTTGTAGAACAAACTGAAGTATTGTCATCGTCTTGCACCAGACTTTTTTACATTTTGCCCACACACTTCAAAAACTGTACATGCCTCAATATCACGCCATCACCACAACATTTTTATTCAGTGTTCTTGCCGTGACAACATCCATGACATATTTTCCTCAAAGTGCATGGCAACCCATCTTCTTTCCCTTACTGATCACTATACGCTTGGGTAACAAATGGATCTAACTTCGAGATTCCTAGGACAAGTTTCTGAGAACTAGAGTTTCGTCCAATCACATCCGAACATGACTAGCATGTAGTTTGTGCGGAGTCAGACTTGTATAATGTTACCCCCAATTTCTTTTTTATATCAAACTTAGGTTAACTTATCTGCTTCTATAGCTTTATCACGCCAAGTCGGCTCCTTCAAAATAAGGCTACTTTTTACACACTTTCTTATTTTAGAAAAATTTTTCCTTCATTGATGCCTTTGTTACCTACAGATTATATACCTTAATATATAAGTTATATTCTCCACACTTAATGGCGGCAATCATTAAAAGATTTTGTTCGAGATTTTTTAGAGTTTGGTTGGGGATCGAGGTGTAGTTTGTAGGCGTTCTTACCCGGAACCGTGGCTGTTTCCACTGTTTGAATTTTGGTAAATTTCGTGACACAGCTCCTTAAAGTTTGTAGGCGCTTACAAACTTAGACGGACTCGTGTGGACATGGCCTGCAAACTTACATACCGGCGGCTTCTGGCCTCAGGAGAACCGGTGTAAACGATCATGGTAAACGGTTTAGCCAGTGTGAACAAGTCCGTCAACCAATCGACGAACATCATTCTCGTGTGAACGCCCTAAATGCCAAAGTTTGTACGCGTCTACACACTGAAACAGACTTTGTTTATATTGGCCATTTTGAGATTCTGCGAAGACTGGGTCCGTCGAATTGCACTATGGGATTGTTTTGAGGAACAAACTTTGACCCAGTTTCCTGCGAAGATACGTCACTTGCACATATCCCATAATGCACCTTATTTGCCACCTCCCTCCCCACCCCCACCGGCCAAATTTTGCATAAGCATTGTCTTCAATTCCTCTTGGGACGGCTGTAATACCCAGGAGAAATGAAAAACAAAGGTTATGCCACTTTTTGGGGGGAGGGGGTGGGGGGCAACTAAGGTACATTATCGGGTGTGCATGCGCAGGTGGCGTATATATACCGATTACCTTGCTACTGATCTAGCTTGTGATTAAGTGAACCTTTTATGTGATTTAAACTGTACCGCTGTTAGAACAAAGCTTTTGGAAAAAGACCTTAGCTTAAAATAGTTATGCGCGTAGACTCAATTCAATCTAGAATTTTCTCTACGTGGTAATCTTAAGCAAAAGAAGCTGAGTCGTTTAAATAAATTAAATTTAAATACTAATTGCTGCAACTTGTACATTACAATAGGCGTTTCAGTACTAGTCAGGCGTTTCCATTGATTGATTTGCAATCTACGTGTAACCGAGTAACGTAAGATGAATAAAGTACATTTTTCTGAGCAAAAAACAGTATTGGTCCTTTTGATGTAAACAAGTCGATTAGTCGCACTCGTCGCTTAACTATGGAGGTAAATCACCCTTCTCCTCCCTCTCCTCCAGCACTGTCCTTAAGCTACATAAGCGGCGGTTCGCTGACTCTTAGTTTCGTTTTTAATCCGAACAACTTTGCCGGAAGAAATTTTATGTAGATAGTCTATATTCTAGCAAAAATCATTGTGATATTGATGATGTCTTTTTAGTAAAAAAATAGACTGTATGGAGGCCCGTTCTGTACAAAATTATTCCAATATTTTTGCCAGTGCAACACTTTTTATAAACCCATTGTGTATTGTTATCATTACGTAATATCTTGTAGCGGAACTCGCTGAGGATTGATTTTAAACTCACTACCGACACTAATGGAAGTTTAAGAGACTTTCCTGACAAAGACACTTTTCAAGAGGTTATATACCATTAGCATCACGGAATGAGAAATAAAAATCGTTTACTGTCTTCCGGCTTTTATTACCTTACAAATCAGACTTGATATTTGGCGATAAGATAAATTTTTTAGTGTAAGGCCCTGGTGAAAAAGAAACAAAATTTTGCGTAGTGCGAACACAGCGTAACTTGCCCTCGTTTTTTCCGAGAGTATATGATAACTTTGTTGACTACAAATATCAAAAGTCATTTCGCTTTCCCTTTCGTATTGAAAATTAATTTTGTAATTGCAGATAGGTTTTTAATAACAAAACCGCCATTAAATGTGGTCAGTATTTGTAGTTAATTGATGCAATCGCGCAAATGGCCTTCGATAACAGTTCTTAGTTGATAATGAAGGAAATTAAATGAACAGATGATTAGTTCCCAAGCTATAGTTAATTTACCACTTGAATGAAAGATATATAAACACTTTCGTCGTTAAGAAGTCTATCATAATTCGGCGAGGGAGTTTGACTTAGTATTGTAAGCCTGAGGGTGAGTGCCACGGTGACGACTTCTTGTTTATTCTGCATATCATAATTAGACTAAGCCAGTTAGCAGAGAAATATTTCGTTTACCAAATCTTTTGCTCATAGTCATTGTTATTGTAGAACTGAAGGAAACAGGTTTAAACAGTATTCTTTAGAAGGTAAGTGAAAAATGCTTTATTTCGTTTGCATCATAATAATCTAAAACAAAACTTCTGCGATCTTTAATGGGGAAAACACTAACGTTTTGTGCGAAAATCAGGCTTAATTTTGAAATTCTAACCTCAGAGTTGTTGTAAACGAGTGCGAGAAAACGCGAAAGAAATGATAAATTACATAATCTTAGACAAACTGATCACGAGGTGTGGCCGGAACGAAAATCAATGACAAATTAATAGACCTTGATTAAAACCTCACTGTTGCAAAGTAAAACTGGAGATATTTCTTTTGAGTGATAAAGGATTAGACAGAACAGAAATCGTAATCTTTTTACTAATCCAAGCTCCTCTTTTCCCTCAATTCTTTACATACCGACTGTGTATAAAAATCTCCGAATATATTTCAGTTTTTTCGCTCACAAAGCAGGTTCAAGTTCATTACAGTAGGTAGCTTATTGTCAGATAAACTGAGGTTTTCGGAGGGGGAAGGGGGGGGGGGGGGGTGCACTGCACTGACACCTGCCGTAAATAAATTCTAAGCTTTGTTGAAAAAGTGTAAAGTATTAATTAAGAGCGACGGTCAGCAAATATCAAGCATCAAGTGGCAAGAGTTGAAAAATCGATTTCTTTCATTTTGTAGGTAGATAAGCCGAAACGTGATGTACATTGTTTACGCCAAAAGCTCTTTAATTGCCACAAAGATTGGAATATCGGTTTTCGAGGTCGGAGTCTCAAAATGGCCTAATTTTTAAACTGAAATTCGCCAACATCAACTTTCCTCGCGTTCACAAACGAAGCCGCACGGAGAAATTTGTACAATTACTATCAACAAAACAACTCTTTTTCTTTCACTAGAAGATACTTTCACGGCAATAGCGAGAGTTGTCGAACTGAAATGATTGAAAAATTAGGAATAGGTTTTCACGATAACAAAAACTTATTAATAAGTTTATTACTCATTTTCTACGGCAACATTTAACACGATCAATGAGTCATGTATCAATGAGTCAATGAGGCAGATCTAAAAAAATAATATTTCGGAAGAAGCAATAAAATTGAGCAACACTCTTATTTATTTTGTCTACTTGCTAGAAAGTATGTATTGTCTGATGGTTTTATGATCCTTAAAGGTTGCTGGGAAAGGCTATTCTACGGAGCATTCACGTAGGGTTTGACAAAAAAAATATGCCAAAAAATATACATTCTAAAAAGGGTCTGTATTAAGTGACGACCTGAAGAAGGGGAGCAACTAGAGACAAAATGTTACTGTAGCCTTCTTGTGCAAGGAGGGTTTACAATTATACGCGAGCACGTTTCCTTTTCAATCTCGTCAAAATATCATTAAATCACTCATCCTGAAGTTCTTGGAACGATGAGTTTTTAAGAATTTTTTGGTGATTAAAGTTTGAAGGGCAAACGTTAAAGTTATGGAAAAATGAAGAAATATTGGATTTAAGGGTAGTTAAAAATTA